TTTTTGATCATTGTCCATGCATTCGATCCGAACCACTCTGAAATCGAACTTATTCAATGGGTCCGCTCCCGTTGAACCTCGCACATCTGAATGAAGTCGGAAGGGCCACATAAAGTAAGCAGGAGTCATGATGCGCACATTGCGCAACCCCTGTGAATCCCAGCCCCTATAGTCTGATAGTAGGGAAGCATCGCCGCGTTTTCTCGTTATTCAGGGTTCCCTTGGTTGCCAACGGATGTTTTGGTTAAAAAACCGAAAGAAAACAAAACCCAAATTGCCGGGCTGGCCCTTGACAGGCCCTTCAAAGGAGGTGGACAAGTCAGCCCTGGAGCTCAATGGATAAGCCAAGCGACGGATGGATTCATCCCCGAGGTCTGCTTGCAGCAGCTGCGTCCTGATTCTATCGATCGGATTTCTGGTGACCAGCAAGAATAATGGACACCACTCGTAAAGTGGGTGTGGGTCAAAATTAAACCAACAGGGGACCGCAAATGTTGGTCCATGTTTCCACTTGCCAGGGTTCCATTTTGGGTACCTATTTGTGACCCACAGCCAAGTGCAACTTTGGAAGGGAAATTCACTGACCCCTGCGTGTCTTGGACGTTCCGGGAGCCCGTTTTGTAACGTCACACAAAAAACTGTCGAAATGTCGGATCTTTTGCTTATCCCCAAAAGGAACAGGGGATCTTTGCTGGAAGAACCACCGCTGGGATAAAATCTTGAAATCAACAAATGTAACCCTGGATTTTACTCCTGCAAATTGTCATGGACCCCATGCTTTCAAAGGTGGTTCCCATCTTTCTCGACAGCTGATGGGGGGTTCCATGTGTTCATCTGGCCTGCAAGCCCTGCCATTGTTTGCATCTTGACTCATCGGTGATAAGAGCCCGTCCAAGAGGGTTTCTACACTTCTTGAAACGGCTTTGAGGGAATAAAGCTGGGGGCGCCCTTGCAGGGAGTCTTGCTTGAAATTGGCTGTCTCTCGAAGTCTACAAACTGAGATTTGACCGAGCTCTTCGGCGCGAAAGTTTCCTCGGCAAGGAACATAGGCTTCTGTGATGGCTTTGGCCACGTTTTCCTCAGACAATTGGGGCTCCATTTGGAGACAGTCACATTCAAAGTGGGGGCGACGACCATCCCCGACTTGGTCCCAGCCCGAGCTTCTCACCTCCAGAAAAACCGGGCAACCCAAAGCCGAGTGCAGTTTGGATCCGGGGGAGGGCAAGCTCCTGGATCCACTGCAAGAACTTTACAAGGTCACCAAACACTTGACACTTGGCCCGACTCTGGGCTTCACAGAACATATTCTTCAGATTTTGCTTCGCTTTTAGCCCCATGCTTTTGGGTTGGAGACCCTGAAGCAGTAGCACATAGCCAAAAGAAGGACCTTCCATCAGACCTTCCAAGGGGCTCTTGCAAGGATTGCAAAGCCAAAATTATGGAATCCCTAAACGCGCGGGGGGGGGGGGGGGGTAGGTACAATTGGGTTCTTTAGGCTTTGGGAGCCTTCAGCAACTCCCTGCAATGCCCCCCTTAAGGGATTCTATAACAAAAGCTCGCTTGAACGCTCCAAAAGCGCTTGCCGCGCTGCCCGTTCTGCCCGATTTTGCTCTGGGGCGCCCGGCAGCATCCGTACCTTGCACCGGCCCTTCGTGAGCAGCATGGTGTGGGAGCAGTTCGCCTGTATGCGGCAGGCAGGCGAACGCGCGAATGCTTGAAGGACTTGATGGGTGACTCGTCATTTGTTGGAGCTTTCAAGGGAAACAAAAAGAACACCCGAAATCCTTTTTGTTGGGATCCCCGATAAGACACCCCGGATGGGTTTGTCTTTACCCCTGAAACACTTTGTGTTGTGGTGGGTTAAAGGGAAAACAAAGGGAAACCGAACATATTGGGGGTCCAACCAAAAACAAGAAACACCTGTTTCAAAGGGTGTCTGCATTGAGGAACCCTGTTCAACACTTAAACCTTGGTTTGGTCTGACAACGTGACGTACTGCACGCAAAATCAGACAGAGAAGAATGGCAAGCTACGATGATCCAGCAAGTTTCTGCATAGGTGTACCGTATATCGACACAGCGGCTGCTTTCGGAATCATTTCAGGTTGAAGCACGTGCTCAATCTCCGATCCAGAGACCTCCGCCGTCCAACCGCCCACACGGCGCAAACTGAGGGTCACCCATACTCGCTTCCGTGGAGATCTTTTTGTTTAGCCAAAATGACTGATCGGGCAACCCACATCGGGGAACCCCGAAAACAAGCCTATATAGGTTCCGCTCTATTTCGCTTGCTGACCCCCCCCCCCCCGCCCCTCCGGGGAGTCGAGTCGACGAGTCGCCGAGTCGACGCGCGGTCGACGCGCGGTCGAGTCCTGGGGCTTATGGAGCGCTCTGGACTCCAGGACCTTCAAGCTGCGGAACCGGGGGTCGTCCTGGAAGATCTTCCACCTGAAGCCCCCCAAAGCGACGGCGGCTGGCTCGGCCGCTCGGTCCCAAGTCCCCTTTGGGATGGCGCGCTCGCGCGGTCAACTGTACCCACTGATTGTGCATTTGCCTCTAAAAATAGGGGATCCCCAAAAAATGGTGAGGTTGCTCTTGGTTTCTCTCTGAATCCCCAAAGTGGGCACCTCACTGTAGAGAGCCCATCTCCTCTCCAGATCCGCCAACCCCCCCCCCCGCGGCTGCATTGAGGCCCCCGCAAGGGCCTCGTGATGCTGGCCTCGGCCAGGAGGGGTGCAGGTTCTTTGGCGCCCACTGTCGATGGACCAAATCCTCCACTGGGAGTCATTTGCCCAAAGGACCCGAGAAGAAGAAAAAAAGGATACACTTTGGCAACCTGGAGTGAACTCGCTGGCTCTCAGCAGGAAATGAGGGGGGCCCACATAAACCTTGTGGTTTCCTTTGAGGGAGTCCCTCCGGTTCGTTCCCAACACTCGGTCTCAGTGCACCTGCAGTAAATATGGACCATATCAGAACCAAAGGGTCAAAAGCTTGCTTGGCTTTGAACGATGGATGAACTCGCTTAAAAAAAAAAAACAAATAAAATGGGATAACCCAACCTGGTGCAGGAGTTCGTCCATCCACCGTATGTCTTTCAGGTTCCCTTTGATTGGTGGATTGAATTGGTGGTTTCAAGGCTGGGGGTGGTTTCTCAGTTACCCTCTACACGACGCAGGGCCAAAAATAGCCAGACCGCTAAACAAACCACCAACTAAAAGTTGCCGGAGTTTTCGTCTAGAAAGTTGAGCAATCCAACAATAGGAACCCCTCATGGCTGTTGTTGCTTGGCTGTTTGTTCTCGGTAGAGGTTGATAAGCATCCCTGTCAACACGAACAGTCGACGGACAAGAAGCGTGAGCAACAGTACTCAGGCTGTGCACCAAGGATACTAAAGTCTGGCATGTAAACTCCATTTCCTGTTGGTGATTGAGTTAGTGTGGCTCGTGAATCCTCATGTCCTACACTAGACCATTCTCAAAGTCATCCCCAAGAACGGTTCAAAGAATCAAAGACTTGGATCTATCCCAAAACCAGGACCAATCCGAGTTGGCTCAAAAGCGCCGCAACACCAAGTTTCCCTTGGACACGACAACCAAAAGGGGCCGGCTTCGCTAAGAATCGACACCCAGTTCTCTGTGGATCCAAGCGAGAGCCTCAAAATGATCCTCTGCGCCGTGGTTTTGAGTAGTTTACCAGTCCCTCAAAACGAAACCACTCTGAAAAAATGTCGTGGGAAATAGCCCTTTCCGTGGCAACAAAGCGTGCCATCCCTGTGCCTAAGGCTAAATTTGGGTTCTTAAGCACCCTACAGCCCCATTTTACTTCGGCTGCTTCTACTACTTTGTCTTGGAGAGTTGGTTTCTGTTTGGTATCACTGAAAAAAGGCCCAACACCGCCCTTTTCCACAACCATGCTTTCATCGACCCAGACTCAGCCCGCACCAAGCCAACCTCCCGAGAGGAATTCGTCGTCCGAGCACGGGGCAGTGATGAGAGAATATCGCAGGTTCTTCTTGTACCTCCCGGGCGGCCTGTGCTTTGCCTGAAATCCATCGTTTACCAACCTGAACAAGGGAATCTAAAAAACTATTTTTCAACTTGTCCATTGCTGCACGTGTCCAGGAAACCTAAACGACTTATGAAATGCAGGGCTGCGCAAAATTGGTTTGAAAACCATGGCCAACATGAGTCATAATCAAATCTTGGCCTCAAACCGGTCCACCCAAAACCCATGGGAAAGGATCAAACAACTGTTTGGTCGGGACTAGCCCTTAACCGTTCATTTGCCCAGGTTTTGATATTGTGGCTCACGTGAGCTTAACTGGGCCATGGTCGCAAACCCAAATGAGGCCAGTGCCCCTAATCATGAAGCTAGGGCGCTGCTCAGATGGTTTAAACAATATTGGCCTGAACATAAACATGGGTGCGTCCGTCTTCCCTTTAAAACCACAAACGGGAGGCACCCTCAAAGAAGGACACACCCACATGTTGAAACAGCTTGCGCCCCAAGATAAAAGAGCGGTCTCACCTCCCCTTGCCCAGTGAGCAAGCAAGGACACTCTGGGTGGAAATTCTGACTGCGCTTGACCACCGAACCACCAAGCCAAAGCCAATTGACGGCAAGCTGACAACATGTTTGCAACCTGCTTTGGTGACCAAGATGTGTGCCAGTTAGTAATGTTGGGACCCGATTAATAACCCCCCGAATTCATCTAAACCTGCCCCCCGCCGAGTCCCGTCACCAACACCAGTTTCCATTTCAGACAAGTTTGAAGAAACACGTCACCTCATTTATGTTTTCACCCCTAAGAAACTCCTCCGAGTAGTCCACCCCGCCTCCCCAAAGAATAATAATAATGCAACTTCAAATTGCAAAAGTGTTGAATTGTCGTTCATAGTTCTAAGGATTGCCGGAACAACCGGGCAGGATCCAAGGGCACCTCTCGAAACCTAGTTTTACGGACCTTGACGACCTGGAGCGCAGTTTTCATTTATGTTAACCGCGGACTAATCAACCCCAGTTTGTTAATAGGGGGTGTCCCTGGCTGTAGTGAGAATCATGACTTCAGAGCAAAACACCCCCACATTGATACGATGGGTTCATTCATCCAGGGGTCGACATTATTTCGTTTCGGAGTGGTACAAAGCCCAAAGGAACCCAAAAAGCCCAAAGTACCCCCGATCTCTCGACGATGGCCTGGACTCTTGCTCTACTAGGTCCAGGATTTCGTACAAGTCCTGAAAGCCCTGCGTCAGCAGAAAGTCCGCCTCGCGAGGCCAAGTTGTGATGTGTCTCGTGCCTGCACATGTGGCGCGCTGGGGATGAGGTTCTCCTCTTCGTGATGTTGGTTTAACAAGAGGCGCGCGGGATGGCCGGGGGGGGTGGGGGGTTGTAGTAAGGCCTACGACACAGGTTTTCGCATTTTGGCAGAGCCATGATTCTGCGTCTTCGTTCTACTCTTTCAGGTTGGATCAACTTGTTAGGTATCCAAAAGGTTTGAGCAGATCGCCTCCGCCACGAGTGTCAATAGGGCAGTGGGTCTGTCGGATGCGCCCCCGCATACGAGCCCACTGGCAAGGAAACCTAGGTGAAACGATCAAAAACCAATTTGTTGGAGAACGGCGCTGCATTTTGGAGCACAGCGGGTCTAAAAGGCATACCCAGCTTGGAAAAAGCTGCTTAGACATGACTGCTGACCAAAACTGTTGCGGGTTCGCTGTGAAAGACGCAGGGCCTGCAAGTTTAGGCCTCCAGGTTTGGTGGGTTTCTTTGGTCTATGTGAATCTTCCACGCCCGGGCGTGTCTTTGGGGACAGGCGTGGTGTGTGTTTCAGGGTCGCAAAAGGGATGTAAGGCAAGTTGCAGCTGGCAATGAATCCACGCAGAATTGCCTACTGCTTCCCAGGTACTGTTTCAGCCACTGAGCAAAACACTCCAACAGTTTGCAAGTTTGGTTTTGGACCAGTGGGGCCTTCTCAAAATGGTGGACCCTTTTGGTTCGTGTTGAAAAGAGAAACCCAAGACGAAACCACACATTAGATGGTCCCTTCTTTACTATTTTGAGAATCCCGCAGAGTCAGCGTGTGTGTTGGTCTGCCTGTGCCGACTTGGTTTCGCCCACCCGGAGCTCTCATGCAGCTTGCTCATTCGGGGGGCAAGTTTGATGTCACGTCTTTTTCATTTCTTCTCCTTTCCATGTCCTTCCATGTCCTTCCATGTCCTTCCATGTCCTTACAAGTCCTTTACATGTCCTTACATGTCCTTCCATTTATATGGCTTTCCGGCCAGTCGTGCATATGTGTGTTGTGGGGTGGATTTCTTTGTGGGTCGTTTAGCTGTTGATCCCCGTCCTGCTTCACCCAGGCCACGAGTGGCCATCTGGAAACAAACTGGTGCCGTTTTTGGGGTGCCCCCAGATAGGTGGTGTTCCTATTCCTTTGGCTTTGAAATAGTGGTTGTACCCTCAACAAGGCTACCATCCCAAACACCCAGTGGCCACGGGAACATCTCTTAAAGTTCTCCCCCGTCAGTCACTTTCTTTTACTTGCTTGGTTTTCTTTGAGCTTTCCCGACCCAAAAATCGAGAACAAATGCGCAACCCACGCAAACTGGAGGTCTGGGGTTTAGACTCGCGCGTTCCATGTTCTGATTATCTGAAGACCTCAACTTCCAGTTGATTTTCCAAACAAAGAAGGTTTGAGTCTACCTAGCCACCTTTTGGCTTCGCCGGCTCCACTACCAACCGAAAGGTGTCCGAAATCCATATTGAGAAACTCCTCCTTCCCAAATCCAACACCCAGACCCCGGCAGTGGGAAAAAAAGGGGGGCATTCCAATGTTGCGCACATTTCCTTTTTCCAAACGTGAGGTTACTACTGCCCCTTTTATATAGATAGTTAAACCCAGCCTGCCATGAAGAGTCTCTCGGAACCCGAGAGTCGTCAAACCAAAGCTGGACCCGGGGCTTTATGCGGCCGAAAACCGCCAGCCGCACACCGCCGAGCCTCGTCGATGGCGAGGTAGGCCACCTCCTCCAGCCTCAGGTCCCTGGCCTTGTGGAACTTCAGGAGCCTGGCGCCGGGTTCGCACATTTCCTTCGGGGATTTTCTCGCAGGCGGTTGACTTTGTGTGTATTGAACAAAATAACAGGCGGTCTCCAACATTTGTGTATCTGTGCTCTCTTTTGTTGAACAAATGTTGCAGGGTTTAGGGTTTAAGGCTTAGGGCTTAGGGTTTAGGGTCATCTGTTCACTGTTTTGTGGTTTGAACAAAGGATATTTGGTTGGGCTACTTTGCAGCTATGTATATAACAAGAAGTCCGAAAGATGCTTTATGTCTCGGTTCGCTTTGGGTTGTGGCGCGGCTTTTCTCTTGGCTCCTTTGGGACAAAGAAGCAAAGCACTTGCTTTATTGACAGACATGCTGCGTCAGGATCCATCATAGTATACTTAGAAGGAATTAAGAGAATCCGGCGCCCTGTTGGTTAGTCAAGGGGAAACCAACAAAAGAAGGGGAAACTACACATCTTCAGGGTTCTACGGGAATACCTACCGGCTATTGAACCGAGAACTGGGGTTTCATGCCAGATTCTTTGGACTGGTAAATCATGGGCGGAAGCCCAACCATTGGACCATGTACCTCCACTCCTCAGAACCCGGAGTGAATGAGTACATGAAGGGTGCAAAAGTCACTTTGGGTGAAAAACTAATATGCATGAACGAAATCCACTTCGCACCACTTTGAAACCATAGTTGTTTGCTGGTAGCAACTGGGGAATCATCATTTCAGGGATTCTTAGGTGCAGGATTTCGTCCATCCGCAGTGTGTTTGTGTGTGTGTGTGTTATATTTATAACGGGCGCTTCTGAAGTGATCCTGCTTCTAGTAAAGGCCAATGCAAGTCTTTATGCCAGCTTGGATATGCCAGCTTGGAACCAAAAGACAGCACAGGTTTTGGGAACTCATAGCATGGGTGGACTGAGCCAAATTTTTGCATTCAGGTGTCCTGGGCCAAAAGCCGTGGCGCTGAAACCGATGTGGAACGACTTCTTGAATAGTGCAGCGATGGTGAGGCCTAAGTATATGACTTCAGACTTCTATGAGTTTTTCTGCATTATACAAGATCACTGTATTTTGTTTGTTGTGTTGTAGTTGCTTGTTGCTTCTTCAATTGCCTCCTCTGCTAACATGGAACCACAACCCAAAGACCTTTGGTTGCAAGGTTTGTTGAGGCCGACTACCTGACTACAACCCTTGTGAAACTAAAACGACTCCTTTGTGGTTTTGGGCACTGATCATGCGGGTCAAGCTGCAAATAAACTGACCCAGCAAATCGGCATGGTTGGCAATGCGCCCAGCGTGTGCTAGGGGAAACGGCTCTACTTGCATGCCGCAAAAGAAAACATGGCCCAGCTGTAAGTGTTACGTAAGGATGGCTTTCGGGAGTATGTACCTACCCCTGCAAAGCCCATTCACCACATTTACCGTGACCTTTTGAGCTGACGTTTCGGCCAGCAAACGATTACCCTCTCCTCTCTTTACTGGAACAATGAAGCCGGCCAAAAGTCCATGGGCATGATGGTGACTATACGAGCCCAAGTAGCCCTTCCAAACGATCCAAGGGACATACCAGGACCCCACAATTTCTTTCCAGACAGGATGAAGGCAATCGGAGGCTAGATCAATTTTCAAACATGGGCTCTTGCTTTTTGAGGACCTGCTCAGGATGGCCTAATGAAAGAAAAATCGGAGGAACCCTCCATTTTGGGTGCTCCCCTAGTTAGGCATGGTTTGCTTCGATGACTTTTGTTGGCTTGCGGCACCCGCTCCATTTGGCACTTTTTGACACGCTCACATATCGAAGACCAGGCGACGTGGGCCATTGCCCAATGACAGCACCTGGCACCGCCCGAAGTTGGAGGTTCAGAACAGAATGACCGCCGATTCTCCTCGTTGCCTTTAGGCGGAACAGTGAACCCAGCCTCACACAACACATAACATCAGTTGGACAACCAAACCCCTCGGGGCATGCTTTTTGTTGGACGGGTCCTGCGAAGTTCCCAACCTTTCGTCGTGGTGGAACACCCTGACCCGGTGCCAAAGGGTTTAGGACCTAAGGCAACCCTCCAACGGTGTCAAGTGGGAAACTGAGTTCACATTTCATATCGGTAACTCATGGGTCGCCCTTGGTTGGTCTTGAATCATGAGTACATGAAGACTTGTCTGGGCTGTCCTCAGATCCCCTGCTAAAAGTTTGTGGTAGTGGGGCAATTGAATGGACAACCCCCAGTAAACCCCAAAAACCGCAGGATGGCTGGGAACCGCCAAGATACATGGAGGTTTCTGCATGCCAATCATTTGGATCGCAATACACATATTGTAGGTGACTTGTGGGTGAGGCCGGACCCCACCCCCCTCTTGGTGTGGTCGCGATCTCATCTGCCCAGATACATGCCGTTAAGTCGTCCTTGTCCGAATCGCCACTGAAGGGTGCAGGCCACTTGGACTCCGAACAACTACCAAGTTCGCCTGCATGTCTGAGCTTTGAACCCCTCCTGCAACTCTCACCACTTGTTCGCAGTTGCGAAAACCCTTATTGATCCGTATTGCTTAGAAGTGCGCCCCCTTGCGCTGCTTCCCTTACGAGACCTTTCAGGTCTCTTCACACCTGACGCCCACATGGGCCTCATTGTTTGGCTGTTGTTTTGAAGCCGTGCAAGCCAAACAGAAACTGCAAAACACATACAAGGCACTCAGGACAATCCAGGTTCTAAAGGCTTGCGCCAACCCTGGCAGAGTAGAAGCAAACCAGAAGAGCCACGGACTAAACTGCCAATGTTTCTTAATAAAACGTGGGTTGTCCACCTGGTTTTGGTAGGACATGTGAGTTGTTCCGCCATCTAAAGGTCCTCCCCAAGCCAACCATACCGCCCCATACCGCCCATCTTGTCAGTTGCTCAAATGGCCATGTGTCAAAACAGGTCTACCCCTAAGTGGTGGTTCTCGTTTCGGCTTCCCCTTAAACCCATGCATCAAGGGGACCAACTGTACAAAGACACAAACCCTGCCCGTATAAGACGTAGCCAGGTTTCGACCCGAAGGTTTCAAGACCTGAAGGTGTCCTCAAGGCCCTGAGACGTAACGTCCATTAAAGTGAGATCCCCCAAATTGCCGGCTTCGAAGCTTCAAGAAACAAACCCCCACCAAGTTGCAATTTGCAGACCTGACAAGGGACCCACTCTGGGCTGCCCTCAGATCCCCTGCCGATAGTTTAACTTTTAGTGGGTGAAATGAACATTTCCCCACTAAACACCAAAAAGCTAAAAGGCTAAGGAACCCGATGGCTGGGAGCCACCAAGCTCTAACAAGCTTCCCTGGGATATGTGGGGGGGTGGGTGGCATGCTCTGGTCGATGTCACCTCCAGCGCAGGCTCTTCTTTCGACTTGGTGCGGTCCAAGACCACCACTGTGCCGCGCCACCTAACCCGAAACGGCACCGCAGCTTCCGACTGAACCAAAAAGACCGGGGTCGTTTGTGGCACTTGGACTCCTCAAAATGGCGTTCCTTGTGGTCTCCCTTCAAAAACAACCACCAAGCAAGGGCGACACAAAAATTCCCATGTGATCCCACCCTTTGGGGCAAAGCATCTGTTTGTGTCCACAGGATTCGAGGGGCATGACAGGCAGGCCAGCTGGAAGGCCCCTTGGCACTTGAAGCTCCTTCCACCAACTGCTTTCAGGCTTTAACAGAAACAACCAGTGGTTTTGGCGTCCGCGATGATCAGAAGTCCAATTCAAGTCCTTCTCGCCCTATGCGTGTCAATCCTGGAGCAGGCCGCACTTCAAGCTGGCGCTTGGAAGGCAACAATCAACAGCCTGATGCCACGGGGCGCCTCAAATGTACCTTGACCCCACACCTTGGGCGTTCCGCCATGTAGCAATGCACAAACCTCTTTCGCAAGGCAAAACCTGTGTTTTTGGAAAGGATTCCTGTGCACCAAATGATCTTTGGTGGTGAAAAAGTAAATTTTGAAACCCGAGGTGTGTAGAAAACGCTAGTTGTTTCGTCAGCCACCGCCCACAAAAGCCTGGCTTGTTGACTCCAAGGTTGGTTCGGTCACTGGCTGGAACCCAACGCGCACACCCCCGCTCGGTATAGCTTCCCCAGCCGAAGAGAACCAACCCGACCGCCCTTTTGCTTCCGCCCCAAACCAAGATCTGCCGGCGGGCCCCGGCTTTTGGTGCTTGGGTCTGTCTTTCTAAGGTGCCCCCCCCCTCCCCCAATTAAAATGGTTCTCCCTTACGCTTTCTTTTGAACCCACCCCAAAACGAGTACGATCTGATTCTAAAGCGGAACCCCCTTAGGATTGGATAAACTTCCACCAACAGCACCCGGTTGCTTTAGGCGCGCTGCTTCACTTTTGTTTCCCCCATTCGGCGTTTTTCCCCTCGGCGGAGCGAAAGGCTGGGTCCTCCGGCCCTGATTGCCCCTGGCAAGGAACAAAAACCAGCTGTGCAAAACGTGAAGTCCTGCAGGGGTTCCTCACTTTCGTGGCAAAACACCAGCCGTCTCAAGCGCGTCAGGGTGATTGTTGAGTTTCTGGCCTTAACAGGGGGGTTGAGGTAGAGGTACATGCGATCTGGTGAACAAAGGTAATTACCCTTTGTAAGGTCATTTCGTCGGGAAATCAAAGATGACCTCGCCAAACTTGTTTGCCCATTCCGGAAACTCCTCGGGTTCCCACGGGCCCTGGTTCTCAGGTGCGCGACTTATGTGACACAACGTCCAGGTTTGCGGGGGCGGTCTGAGCGTACTTGGCATTTGACTGTGCGCAAGCCTTGCGAAGGCAACATGTACTGCGATTGGTTTGACAGGCGTGATATGTCTGTCCTTTCCGGAAATGACCGTGTTCCCACGATACACAGTGTTTCTTTTCTCTGGCAGCGGTCGAAGACCAAGATGAACCATGATCATCATGATCCAAAGACTTGGGTTCTTGTCTCAAGGGAATGCCCAGAAGTCCGAAAGGTAGAAAACGCCTTCTTGGGCAAGTCCGCTTGTGAGAAAGAGCCGCACAAAAAAGGTATATGTTATTGAGTAAAGGCACCCATCCCGATAAAATAACTGGAAAGCACGAACAACAAAAAAGGCATTGGAAGGATGGGCAGTGGGTGAAAGTTCGTGACCCTTTTCGCGATTTGGCGGTTTTGGGTTTGGCTTGGAAGGGGTTGCCTTCCAATTTGCGTTCGCGGGGAAGGGCTTGATACTATGACTTCCAAGCATTGGCACTGGAGAGGTCGAATCGGCCCTCCATTGGAAGGTTTGGGACGATTCTCGGGGACTGAACCTCATGCGCCATAGCAGGTTGCTGAACGCGGCTGGAAGTGAGGTAGGTTGGTCTTCCGAATCGAGTCACACCGAAGGCCTTGCTTGTTGCTTCCCTTGAAACAACCCAAAGAGGTCTCCCGAAACACGGTGTCCCTTCCTTGGAAACGAAGCCAAAAGTCAAGCAAGCTGAACAAGGAAGGGTACCTGGACCCTCAAATTACTCTTAAAACATGGGTCATCACTCAAAATCTGGGGGGGGGGGGGGGCATCTCCCATGGCGGTAGTTTCAAGGTCCAGGTCGCCTCGTGGCGTCCCTTCCAAAACCAAAACGAAGGCGAGTAGCGGCCTCACCAAAGGCGAGGAGCGCCTGGCCCAGGCCGAAGGCCTGCCGATGCAACGACAGCACTTAGGCTGTTGCCAATCAACGTGGACGTGTTGACGCTTCCTTACAAGGAAGATACAAGTAGGGCCTAAAGTGTGGCCCAAATGGGCACGAATTTTGAGGAGGGAGACTTTGGTGGACATGACTTACGTAGAGGTTCATGTCCACCAAGCACTTTTGAGGTGGTTTAAACAGCCAACAAATCAACATACATTTCACCAAACATCTCATGCTTTGCGGTTGTGCGTACGCCGGAAAGGCCCTGGAAACTCCACTCCCCTGGCAGCGCAGAGCTTCCCATTCTCGTCATTTCCCCCTTTGATGTGTTCACTCTAGCTCCCCGTATCCTAATTCCAATTTTGTGAACGTACCCAATTTCATGCCCTTTGACCAACAAAATGACCGTTGCTCTCACACGTGTTTGTTCGCGGTTTCATGCCAGCTAGAACAAGGGAATTGGCGGATGGTGGGGGGCAACTCGCTCAATTCCCCAGTGAAAATGCCATAAATGCCACACCCAATCAAATCAACCAGTCCATCAGACTGCTTAAAATCTAAAAGTGCCATACATGCCACTCCCCGTAGATGCCAATCAAATCAACCAGTTCTAACATCTATCCATCCGAGCCATTGGGGGAAAACGACAAACCGGTGCTGAAACCCGGGCCTCACCCTCGTTGCACACAAGCCATGCCGACGGAGCTGAGTTCAACTGGCGCGAGTCAACGAAGAAAATGCGAGCCGCAAGCCGTAGGCTCCCCTGTTTGGAGACAAACCTATTACGCATACCTTCCAGATGTTGGTGAATTCCCTTTGCAACCATCGTTCTTGCAACACTCGAAACAATTGGGGCAGTTTTCCCGATGCTTCCAGTTTCCACGATAGTAAGCAGGTAATCTTCCTTCTAAGTTTTACTGATGGCGGACGCGCTGGGTTAGATGCTGAGCCCAAAAGGAACGACCCATCCCCACCTCCTTGTGTACACGCGACCTTGGCATACACCAATGAAACCTCAATGTCCAACTGGCACACATCTCCAACTTGGACACTCAATCATTGACCTAAAAGGCGATGTCGAAACCACCACAAGTGACCCCTTCCCTTTACCCCAAAGGCAAACCACCAGGAAATTCGATGTGTTCTTCGCAGCCCCACAACATGTTCCTGCAGATTCACATAAGGAATCCATTCTTGGGGCATGGGACTTTGGGAGGCCCAAACTGATATTCTCCAAACTGATTCAACTCACCTTCCCAAGGTTTGCGTGCCAACTCTCGTCGTTTGAAGCTGGGTTCAACTACACGGATCCCAAGCTAACAACTTCCGAACTTGGCCGAACACCTGGGCACAATGCGTGATTGGCTGCTCCGCATGTTGCCCCTTCAACATGGTCTGTCCTTTCAGACAAGCAACCCAAAATCTCCATCAGAGGCTCAAACGAGAGGACCCAAAGAGGTGAGCCCCACTCCAAATCGCCCAAATCGCTCAAATCGATGGGGTAAAAAATACGTGGAACTTAAACATGAAACGCCTCCAAATTTGACCACGAGTTCCTTAAGGATTTGGGGGCTGTCCTGACCGCTTCCTGAGGGGCCCACGTCGCCCAAGTTGCGCCTCTGCCCAGGACAAGAAGTGCTCGAGAAAGCGTTGCTGCGCAAGGCCTGATGGCTGACCCGCACAAGACCCGTGGGTTCACCCGAGTTCTCCGCGAAGCCAACGAAAGGAGGGAAGACCTGGCGCCACTGAAATGCTCAGGAACAAAAGGTGAGCCTTTTTGGAGTCATGGCAAAGAATGGGCCAAGTCAGGCAAACCAAAAGGTTCAGAGGTCGGCTTTCGGCAAGTGAGACCGGGCTACAAATGTACAACATCCTGCACCATCAACTTACCTCCTGATTGGCGGTTTGGATTGAGGTTAAGGGAGGTTTCCCGTTTAACCTCTATAAGAACTAGAGTTCAAATCCCCAAACCACCAATCCACCAACTAAGGGCTATCTGATACCAGTCGAAGCAGCCTCCAGCAGAAACACCATCAGGAAATCAAAACAGGAATTCTGGCAAAAACATGGTTTTGGCGGCTGGATTCTTTCACCCAAAAAGGCGAAGACTTATGAAGAATTCCGGGATCCTCTTTGTCTACTCCACATCTGAGCTTGTGCTTCACATTAAGCCGTCAATTGCTGTAGCGCGGCAACCTCGCTGGGTGTGCTGCTTGGTCATAACATGCCTCTACCCAGAAGCGTGGAAAATGTGTTGGTAGCAAAACTGCATGGGGACACCCGAAAAGGACGACTTTACACAAGAAAGGACGACTTGACAAGCACTCAGAAGGTCTCAAAACAGTTCAGCAGAAATGGTTGTCACCCCCCGAAAGGACCCCGAGCTTGCTACCGTTGTGTCCGTTTCTCGTTCGATATTGGCTCTACTAAGTTGGTAAAACATCTGATATAAGGCTAAGCCAAATTGTAAGAAACACCTGCTAACAAATTGCCTTTTTGGGGGGGGGGGGGGGACGGGGGGTTGGGCGCGGCTCGTTTAAGTCCGAAACCATACCTGTTGAAGAAGCCTCCCCAAAGCCCAGATCTTGCTGCGTCTGGTTGTGTTTCGGTGGTTGTACAAGCCGATAGGTCAAACTAATGGACTGGGTTTCAGTCAAATGAGAAAATCAAATGTAATGGCGCCGGCTGGAGGTCGGTTTCAAATTTCTGGACCATTTGAGAGTTTGGGATTCTCGAAATACCGGACCCCTTAACCATTCTAGGGTACCCGATTTTGAGAATCACATCCTGCCCATTTGTGACCGTTTTTTTGTTCACTTGCAGTGGCAAAGAAAGAACTGGAATGCGGGTTGACCATGTTTACAGACCCGTGGCATAGCTGAAATGGTTTTCGAGAGCTGTGACAGCCTTCAAGCCTCTCTTAGCTATAATCCTCAATCCGAGTGGAGGTCAAGCTCTGCCATCTTGCCCTTCCTCAGCTGGGAAAACGTTTCAATGGCGTTCTCCAGGCGAATGCAGGCCAAAACCGGAGGGCGGTCAGAGTAGCCGTTGACTCTTGGGTTCGGAAGGCAAACCAAAAGGAAACCCGCAGATTTGAATGCCCTCCCCCAAAACAACGTGTGGTCTGACCAAAGGGAAATCAACCAGTAAGGCTTCCCCATTGCAAAAAAATCCCGTTCCACCCTCGCTTTGGGCTCCGGCAAAGGTCCTGCTGCAGCGAATCCAAAGCCTGGCAGCCGTCGGCTTGAAGTGCCGGGTCACTTCTGGACACGTTCGGCCCGTAGCCGGACCCTGCAAAAGGGCCAAACTGTGAGGTTGAAAGCCAGAGGTGACAGAAAAAAAATACGAAACCCGGGGGAGACATGAGCAAGTGACAAGTCACGCGACTTGTGGAACGCGAAACGAGGGGGTCTGATCCCCGAACAGGAGGCTCGGCTCCATGTTAACTTGCAAGGAAGCACACAACTGAAATCCAAACCAAACACTTGCTGAGGTTGGGGAAGGAAACGCAGAGACGCAAAACGCAATCGTGAAACGGATGGTTTGTGAGGCATGTAGCCTCGACAACCCCTGTATCACCCATTTGTAAGCAATTTCGGGGTACTGACCTGCGTCGACTATTCAGCCAGGAAAAGCGACCAAGCTGTTTGAGCCTGGGGCTCGAACAAAGACACGCAACGAAAACGCTGGGGCTTGGTTTCCCAACAGGCAAGTTGAGATGTCTTGGGAGAAGTTCGAGAAAAAAACCACCCGGGCTGGGGTGTACAGGTATCTTCTGGGTTGGACAAGCTGAAAGGTGAAGCTTGAGTCTCGCTTCCTGAATGGATTGGCCCAACAAAAAACTGAACTGTTCACTGTGGTCTTCCCAACAAGAAGCAAACCGGCGAGCTTGCGATGTGGGCAACACCGTAATGTTCAAACAAGTTCCAAGGTCAAACAGAACCCTCGGGCAAACGGGACTAGTGTCGAATCCGAATCCTTGAGATCCTGGAATTGCATGGGTCCAACAAGTCATTTTGCCCTGTGCCAAGTTTGCTGGGCTGGGGGCACTGGCCTTCTCATCCGGCTGCCACAGAAACGCCTGGCAAAAACACCGGAGACCAAACCCCGGAATATTGTAAAATTGAGTGACCCTAAATGGGTTCCAACAAATCCACGCTATGCCACACACATACATGGGTATGGGTCAAAATTAAACCACCAGGGGACCGCAGGTTTTAGTCTTTGTTGCCATTTACCAGGGTTCCATTCTGGGTACCTATTTGTTACCCACCCGCACATGGTTCTCCTATGATTCTCCTTTGGTTCGAGCATGTTCGAGCTAAACACCGTTTACTAGAACCAAAGCTCATCTTGGCCCTACGCACTAGACCTGTGGCTCCACCTCTGTGCGCATGCTGCTCTACCAACACTGATGAAGGTACGTAGACATGTGAATTTGGCCGCGGCTCAAGAAACCGGTACCAAACTGGAACCCTGGTAAGTGGAAGTATGGTCCAAAACCTGCGTAACCCCTCCTGTTTAACTTTGAGCCACACCCATTTCCCTGCTGCTTCTCAAAGTGTGCCCTCGGTTTGATGGCCCAACGGTAGTACCTGCAAGCCGCAAGTGAAGCCATGTTGGCAATGACAAGTTGGTGCTAAGGGGGCACGCAATGGTCCCAAGCTCAGGAACAGGCAGAAAACCAGGTTCATGTTTTTTCTGCCATGCCGCCGGGAGTTCTCCTTGTGGTGAATGCGGATCCGAGACAAAGCCACCCCCATGCCTGCAATCAGAAGCACTTGGGCGTCTGCGGTGTTTTTGTTTTTCCCTCAGGGAAGAGAGAATGGTAAAAAGCCGTCCTGAAGGTGTGGGTTGACCAACCGGGCCCCAAAATGTCCATGCGCTTTGCATTGCTTCTTTGTTGGGCTACCCCGAACGGCTACCCTGTCATCAACAGACATGGAAGTGCGCAAACTCTTTCTGGAAAGACTACAAACCCTCTCGAAAGGGAGGATCTCCATGGGACAAGCCACCTGCCAAAAAAACGAACATGGAACCTGGAAGGAACCCCTTGGGTCGTTTTCCAGGGCTCCTCTCTCGCGCGCCCAGTCAACATGTTCGGACGGCACTTCGGGGATCCGGCCAACTTCCTGCCTCTGGGTACAGCCGGACGGAAGACAAGCGCCCACTCCTGGCAAACATCTGGTGATCAACAAAATGTGTCCTTGTGGCTTTCCCGCCGAAACCCACCTGAAAGGGCACCCTCAAAGAGAAAGCTCCTATTTTCCGTGGTGCTAGATTTACACATGGTTTGGCCCGTGGGTGAGTTTCCCCTTGCTAAGAATGATGTTTTCAGGGGAAGTACGGGGAACCCAGGGAAACCTTTTAAAAAGGGGATCCCCTTCAGCCGGCCAAAAGCGGCCACCAGCTTGAGACGCAATGTTCATAGTGCTCCCTGATGAGTTTCGAGTAGGCCACATTAGTACCGACTCTTGCTCACGCAAAATCAATGGAAAAGGTACCAAAACACAGTTCCTAAAAAGGGACCCCCCCCTAAACTGGGTTTAGCCGCAAGCATTCTACAATCAAATAATACAATTGCATAACCCATAACACCCCCTAGTTGACCAAATGAGCCCGGAGGTTTATGCCAGCTCAAAGGCGCGAGCAACTTGATCAGACGCCCAGGTCTGTGTGATGAAAGCCCCGCCTGTCTGCCTCGAGCACTCCGAAGTGCAAACGGTAGTCGTCGGTCTCCTAGAGACTTTGCGGTGGATCGGCGCCGAAATTAAGATGGCTTGAATTTTGATAGGGGACCCTTTGGTGGACATGATTGAGGTGGGGATTCGTGTCCACAAACCACTTGTGAGGTGTTGCCTGCTTAATTCGATGGCCATATGTTGTAGTCTGCAGGGGTCAAAGTTCAAAACAGCTTGTGCTGATCTAAGAAATCGAGGCAGCTTCCTCAGCAAAACCTGCGGGGCCCTAACACCGGCTTAGCCTAGTTAAGTTTCTGTGTCAATCGACAACTACTTTTATAGGGATGGTTGTACATACCCCTTTTACACCCCAAAAGGCTTGCTGATGTTCATACGCCTCCCCCAAAGCGGTTAGGTATTTGACATGAAACTGGGTTGGCAAGCAGGGAAGCCAAGGGGTGTGAACAAGGGGTACGTCCTTCCACCTTCAGATACTTCACTGCTTTTTGCGTTCCCGCAGGATGCATGTCACAGATCTTCAACATGCTAACCATGGCTACCCGTTTACCGACCAGGTGAGATGCAAAGGAAAGGCAGGGGTCCTTGGTGAATGCGCACCGGGAACCAAACACTAATCAGGTTTGCAGGGCCAAGTGCAAGACAGCTCGGCCCAATATGAGTAAGTGACAATACCGTGGATGAACAAATCCACTTCGCACCAATTGGTAGGTGTTTATCCTGTCATAGATGTTCATCCATCCCAACCACCAAGGTATTCTGATTGACAAGGGGAGCCTCCAAATCAGATGTAAGTTGTGAGTTTGATGGCCAACGTGTCTCCTTTTAGCATCCACCATGTATCATGTTCATGGCCAACTGCTTTTAGACTCCAGAAACCTTGTGGGTATGTGTAACAATAGGCGACTCTCCAAAATGATGTCTTTCAAACCTGTTGGTTTCATGTAAGCCAACCGGAAATAGGACTAATCACTAAGCCCACCCCGGCCCCTCGCCAAAAGGTTCTCAGACCCCTTCTAAGGTCCTAAGAACCTTTCGCTGGACCAACACACACACGCACAAACACATACTGTGGATGGACGAAATCCTGCACCACCTAAGAAACCCTGGAATGATAGATCCCCTTGCAAATGTTAGCCAACAACGACTGGTTGTTTCCCAGGGTTTCGAAGCGGTGCGAAGTGGATTTCCGACTTGGTCCCCTCCTCGCTGGGCAGATCAGCTGAAAGCTGGGGCCACCAGGAGGTCTCCAATCGCACCTCGCTCAGTTCAGGGGGTTTTGGGGTGGAAAGCTAAAAGGTGTGAAGGGTTTGGAGGGTTTGGGGGGAAGGGTTGAGCGGAAGGGCTAAGGGAGGTGTTTCTGAAAGTTTGGGACCCTCAAAGTGAACCAAACTATTTCCTAAACAAGCAACGCATTGGACAAATTGGGTGGCCCCCCTGCCGCAACACGCCGACGGAGGCGAAGTTACTCAAAAACATGAGGCAACTCGAGGGCAACCCCCGGCCTACGGCGGCCTTCTTGCTCTTTGAATCGTCGGATTTCAACCCAACGGTAACTCCCAACATATCAAGCAAGTTGGACGCCCTGCAATTTACCCCAAGTCACAAACCACCCAACACGCCGACCCGCAAACAGCCCCGCCAACCAACCCCTCTGGCTCGCGATCCCCCAACCCCCCCCCCAACCACCCCGAGCTGTCGATTGGCCACACTTCAGCGAGATAACGCTGTGCACCGCTCGAGGAAGGAGCGAATGATTGTGACCACCAACGTAGGACATCCTCGTAGCAACTTGATCACTTCAGAGGTTCCTTGGTATCTGCTCCGTTCGCTGCGTTTCATTGTGTCACTGACCCAAAGCATGTCATGGTCTTCAAGGTGAAACCTTACCCCCCAGGTAAGCAGGTTGCAACCGCGGTAACCGGGGTTCGTCCCCTTAACAGGGTGACAACCTACTTACCAAGTCGGTTGAACACCTCCCCCTGTGGAGGATGGTTGCGAAATTCGCACCACACTTTGAACCCATGATTGAAACCAGACTCGTTCCTGAGGGCTCCCTATATTCCCCCTTCGAACATCGCCCAACCAAAAGGAAGGTGAATTTAAAAAATTGGCCCTAAAGGCGATGTCTAAAACCACCGAAAGGGAAATACAGTGGCAGGGATCCTTACATTATACACCTGAACATTGACTTGTAAATGGTGGTGTCCCTGTATTGTTCGTGGAAAAAGCCATGTTTCAGTTGGGCAAAATGTATATATATATATATATATATTATATATATATATATATTTTGAGCCCTGTTGTTACAGGGAGCCCTGTGGCATTTCGGTTGGGGGCCGCCTGCCTCAGGGCCGGAGGACTCCGGCTGCGCCGATTGGTGCGACAGCCAGGATGCTGCGCAACACAGGTCCAGGCGGCCTCGAGGTAAAACACAAAAAAACGTGGACCTTCAAAGGTCGAAGCATCACCTGGGTGTGGGCCAAAAATTTGGTAACCCCAAAATGGACTCCTGGTAAATGGAAACACAGACTACAACCTGCGGTCCCCTGGTGGGGTAATTTTGACCCATACCCATCAGTTGTTCAGTGGCCCTGGGAAAAAAGGAACCCTGTTTGGGGAAGACCGTTTTTAGTGGGGCCACCAAAAAAAAAGGGAAGAAGGGTGACAGTGAACAACTGAGTCACTCTAGGAGTACCTTCCCCCTCGCTGTCCGTTTTCAGGACTTCAAACACTTGAGGAAAAAAACAGCGATCGGTTGTTTCCAAAGAAGGATGGTTGAACAGAATGGGGAAGCAAGCCCTGGAATCAATTTGAGCACCCGTAAGCTTAGCTCCGACAAAAAATATGCAGTGGCCTCCAATGGAAGATCCAAGCAACCACACAAGATGATAAGATCCAAAGGAAGGCACTCCAGAATCCAAAGCCCGATGTTCAGAATCCAGGCCAGGGGCAAAAACTGCACCTTTGTTTTCGTGTTATGTATTTTTTCAGGGAACCTCAAAAGAAAACAACAAGAAACGCCAAGAGAGGCTAGGAACTCCACTGGTTGCAACTTGCACAAGCCCCTAGGATTTCTGAAACCCATGGGAAAAAACCCTTCACGTGGCCGTGCAAATAAACGGAAACACGTGAAGCCATGGCTTGGGATCGCTCATATATAAGGATATTAAAGGCAACCTCCCCGTGGCTTCTCCAAAAAAAACGTCAATTGGCTCGGGAGCAAGCGGCAACATGGACAGCTCTTGGCTTCGGGAGAAGCCTTAGTGTGAGAATCAGCAAGGCAACATGGGGGGGCCTCTTTAAATGATTCCTGAAAAAACACTTTGAATGGGAGATGTCACAAATCCCAAGTCTAGCAGAAAAGTTCACAAAGTCAGCTGCCGAGAACCGTAGCCGACAAAACTCAACACGGTCAGCATCCCCGCACGTCCTTTTGCAATTGTTTGGCCGCGGAGTTCTGGGGACCCGCGGTCAAAACATATTGGGGATGCGCCGTGTTCGAAGAAATCGTTCACGTCTTGGGAAACAGCTTTTTGCCGGGCTCAACAATCGAAGAGCAATCCCGGAAAAAAAAAAAAAAAAAAAAACTCCACGATCGCAGATTCTATCATTCCGGGCGACACAGTGGGGCAATTCGAGAAGCGTGCCTTGCTCAGCTGGCTGCTTTGCCATTGTCTCCTCAGGCCCAATGCTTTACTTTTGGCCATGCACGTCAAGGCTCCGTCAATAGTCAGTCAGTTCCTCAAAAGTCCGGTCCGATTAAGCAATGCCAAAGGGTATAGTCTTTCTTTCAAGGAATTCAGGGCTTGTACCAGTGGCTCCGGATCAGGGGAGTCGTATGCCTCTGATGTTGATGATGAGCACCCTCAAGAAACTCTCAAACATGATTGGTGGTTGAATACATGCGCTGACTGATGTCCACGAAAGGGTTACCTGCATTGCAACCCCTAAATAAAGGAACCCATGCAAAATGCATGCTGCATACCTTGGTGACTGTTGCTTCCATGAAGCCATGATTGGTGGTTATTGACACAGAAAGTAGGGGCTGACACACATGCACACACACAAACACAGACACACACACACACACAGAGACACACACACACAGACACAGACACGGACACAGACACGCACACACACACACACACACAAACACACACACACAGAGAGACACGGACACGGACACGGACACGGACACAGACACGGACACGGACACACACAGACACACACAGACACACACAGACACACACAGACACACGCAGACACACACACACAGACAGACACACACACACAGAGACACACACACACACAGACACACACACACACACACAGACACACACACAGACACACACACACACACAGACACACACACACACACAGACACACACACACAGACACACACACACACACACACACAGACACACACAGACACACACACACACACAGACAGACACACACAGACAGACACACACAGACACACAGACAGACACACACAGACAGACAGACAGACAGACAGACAGACAGACAGACAGACAGACAGACAGACAGACAGACAGACAGACAGACAGACAGACAGACAGACAGACAGACAGACAGACACACACACAGACACACACACACACACACAGACACACACAGACAGACACACACACACACAGACACACACACACAAACACACACACACAGACACACACACACAGACACACACACACACAGACACACACACACACACAGAGCACCGACCACATGCTACCCGCTTTCCAACTTATCATGGAAGTGTTCAACCAACAAAAAAAATCATTGGAGTAGCCACGGTTCCCCCCCCAGACCGTGGAGAAACGCTCCCCCCCCCGGGCACCTTTTTTGTTCGGTCCTTGATTCAAATCGAAAGAATGCGGTTCAATTAGTTCTGGGTTGTCTCAAAAGGGACCCTTAATACTGGCGCTTTTTCGGGTTGTTTCCCTTGAACACCGCCAAGGGATCCTCAAGACACAGAGCTGCAAGTTCTGCATTTGCTACCTGAAACAAGGAATCCCGAAATGGAGCTTCATCAGTGGGCGAGCTCATCTGAACGCCGATTGGTGGATCAAATAGGCAGATACCTCAATGCTTGCCACTATAAGTAAACAAGGGAAGCGACTGAACCTGAAGGGAAAATCCCTGTTTACCTATAGCGGCTTGCCTGAAAGCACTGAGATTCGATGCAACTAAAAACCATTGACAGGGTGCTGACTGACCCAAGCTGAGAGCTGATGCACCCCTCTTGACAAGATGGGAGAGTAGGACAGAAGTGCTCCCCTCTGTTCAAAACGGAGTCTTGTCCAACCAATTTCCATAGTTCTGGGAAAGCCACTACAAAGGGGCCAAATCCTTTTGTAACCCATCAGCTCCCTAATTGGTGGTTTGGTTTGGTGGTTTAGAGAACCTGGGTGTCCCAGATACTTTTCTCACACACCAGGGTTCAAATCCCAGCCACCACTCCAAACCCGCCGAATTAAAAAGGATCGGATCTAGCGCCTGCAGCTCTTTCAGCCTGCGCTCCAACTGCAGCTTCTCCTCTCGCCACTTCGCCTTCTGCTCAAGCAGCTCCTACGGAATCGAATAAAGAGAGGCTTTTGCCGGCTGGATTTTCTCGTGGATCTTGAATTCATGTTGTTCTGGTTGGTTTCCTGGTCTGCTTGGTCTCGATTCTTGTTGGTGTTCATTCCCTCTGCCTATCTTGCGCGTCGCTTTGCCTGATGTTTTCCTGTGGTTCCAGTGGTTTCCGTTTGAACGCCAAAAGAGACATCCCAATTGAAGAACCCGAAGGGTATGCCTGTGTTAGCAGCTTCTGGAAAAAGGGGTGCAAGTTCCACATGGTACGATCCCTACGGGTTGTGCCCAGAAGCGCTCACTGATGGGCGTTCCTTGGAGACCAAGGGCCACAACGGATCCAGTTTTTGCGGCCCACCGGCTGACTGAGGGCCCTTCATTCAGGGGAAATAACAAACCGCTTTTCCTTGGCTGCCATGTCAATATCTTGTATATATGCATAAGTATTATATATATATATATATATATAGAAGCAACATCTTTCCATGGCCCCTCAAGATTGGCACCCCGACCTAAACAAGATATAATTGGAGGACGTCCCGTGTACATGCCCTTGCTGGCGAAATGAATGGTTTTATCCCTAAACAAGTAGGTGTAGCCACCGTGCTAGAACCGAAGGCCATGAGTGTTGCACTCTGGTTGATTGAGTAGACACTCTCGTGTGGGTTGGGGCACACGCATAGAAGTTAAAGAAGGGTGTCGGAGTTGGAAATCGAACGAACAAATAGCCGTTTTTTTTTTTTTTTTTTACTGCCCGTACTAAACTGGCGAGCCGAAAACGGCAAGCACCATGATCTCATGAATAAAGAACAGTCAGTAGGTTTCCCACCAAACCGCATCAGAAGCACTTCAAGTGCCTAACCTGCATGTCCAAAGGGTCTCACCAAGCCATGCTCCTTACTGAACATGCTGACAGAATCCACCAACCAAAGGGGAACCCCCACCCAAACCAGTAGATGTCCAATTTGTCCTAATGTTGGCACAAATTCCTCATCACCGTCACCCAGTATGTCCAATGTTGGCACAGATTCCTTAGATGTCCAAAAGAAAAATAAGCATCACCCATTAGACGCCATTAGACATTAGATGTCCAAGCACACATTAGCACCATCACCCTGTACGTTCAAAACTGTCAATGTAGACACAGATGCCAAAGTATGTTGCAATTGGAACTTGTTGGAAGCACGAGTGGCTTGGACTGTCTACCAAACATTTCGATTAACATGGGTGCCCAGATTCCCAGTCCCATGTCAATGTGGAAAGAAGGGCCGTCTCTTTGTGTACTCACAAAAAAATCGAAGACCCCATGCCAAGAAAGACCCCAAAACTGAGACCCAAGTTTCAAGTCTCAAGACCCAAGACCCCGCGTCTATCCACGACGCATCGCCGCCGGTTTCGCGCCTTCTTGGCGGCGGCCATGGCCTCTGCCGACGCCCAGGCCCTCGCTCTGGCGATCCTCGGATCAAAAAACACGGTCCGAAGGCACCGTGGATCGGCTCCGGGTGAATGAAAACCCGGGGAGAACGCGGTCTACCCGAAATCATGTCAAAAACAAGTAAGAGGGAGGACGAAGGCCAAACCAGGTAAACAAGCAGCTAAAGGGCGGACTAGAGACAAATTGAGCACCTGTGTATGGTTGCGACTATTTCCTCATACCTTCCTCTACCCGAGGATTGATTGTGCTCGAGCGGGTCATGTGAAAGCAGGGCAGGAGGTTGTCCATTCCATTATTCTTAGGAGAAAGGGTTGCCTGAATCTTAAATGCCCAAATTGTTTGAGTTGATGGTTGATCTTTACAACATGCACCCCGGGCAATTCTATTGGGCCGGACACCAGCGTCATTTGGTTGTCTCAAAGTAGTTGCCTAATATGGCGAATTTGAATGTCCTTTTGGCTTCCCTCCAAAAGTCATAATCAAAACCCGCCATGAAACATGGTCTACCCAGAACCATGCAAAGCATAGAAAAGGCGGCCGCACACATTTATGGCTGGGATTGTCGCTTACTACCCTCCAGTTACCCGGGTTTTGATTGTGAACTCACTTTGAGAAACTCCCATGGCGCTCGGGTGTTTTCCAGGTTTTGGGGACCCTAAACCCTAAACCCTAAACCCTAGCCCCCAAATCCGTGGCTAGCCAAGTGTCTCTTCATCGAAGTTGCCAGGTTTGGCGTCTTCCCTTGCCTGCTCCTCAGGTCTGCGACTCTGGCACAAGGCCCACCAAAGGAAACCGTTTGCAAGTGGTCCCCCAAAAAGGCACATTGACATGCTTTCTGGTACGAAGCAAGCATGTCTCCTCTTCTTTCTCCTCTTCTTTCTCCTCTTCTTCCTCTTCTTCCTCCTCTTCCTCCTCTTCTCCCTCTTCTTCTTCTTCCTCCTCTTCTTCCTCTTCTTCCTCCTCCTCCTCCTCCTCGCTTTCAGCTTTCTCCTCCCAAGCATGCTGGTGCAGAAACGTCGGCCCAAACGCCAGGAGAATAGCAAAGGCCAGCCCGGCAAGCCCGGCAAGCAACACACGCATTGGCCACTCTTTGTTTGCGGGAATCACTTTTTGCGGGTTGTTGCAAAGTGAAGCCAAGGGAGACCCAAAGCCCATTTTGTAAGTTCCGCGTTCCCCCCCTTTCCCCGCCCCCCCAAGAAGCTCATGTTGTCCAAAGCACCCAGGGAAATTTATTCTTAGAGCGAAATAAGTACACACATCCTGCCATGATCATGACTCGCTTGGGTCTCTTTTCCTGTTTTTGGGGGGTTTAAAGGGAAACCAAAAGGATGAACGTTGCGCCATGTTGGAGGGTTTCAAATCCTTTGAACAATCACCCATATGGTCTCACAATATGTGTTTCACACGGCGCTTGGGTCCAGACGGAACCAAACAAAAAACCCAGCCATACTGTGGATTGACAACCCCTATGATTGGTTTTCTTCAAAAAGCAAAAACCATATGGTTGGTTGCTTAAACCAAATCTGTTGTTATTTCCATCAAAAAATGGGTTCCAGCCCCAAAGCTATGGTCTGTCCAGGCACCCAACTTCCACAGTCTACTGCCAAAGCTTCGAAATCGCCAGCCCGAGCCGTGGCCTGACTTCGAGCAGGCGCCTTTGGCGGTGGCCTCGGCGATACGCGTAACGCGCGAGGTTCCCAGTGGCCGGAACGTGACAGAAGCCAAAACTTCGAGGCAAAAGGACGCTCTTCAAGAAACTAACCCCAAGTGCATTCCAGGTGGGAAGTGAAATGTGGAAAGCAAAAATGGGGCAGGCAGGGGACCAGCACAGGAGGGTGGCTTTGGCGCACAGAGAAAAAAAACTGATCTGTGTCTGCCCCACATCCTGCCAATTGGTTGTGACTAAACAGCGAGTTGGTGTGGGACAGCTGAACCGATCTTGAGCAATAAACGTCAACACATGTTTGCCTGCTTGAACACAACGATCGGCCGCTGAAACCTTTTGACCAAGCATCACCAGTCGACTTGCAACCAAACTGTGCCGGGCATGAACTCGACAAATTCCGGGGGAGAAGCCTCCAAGCACCGGGACCCTTTGAGTTTAGGAGTTTGAAGAGCGATAGAAGCCTAATGAGGCTCAAGGTATACCCACGTGCACCCGAAAATGATAATAAGTTAAGTGCTCCTTGGTCGATAGCTCAGTGACCTCGGTCAAGGGATCTCACTAAAAAATTGGATATCGTACAAAAGGGGCAGCCACGTGCCAACCACTGGCATGTTCGCATTGTTGCTGGCTGCCTGAGACGGTGCAATGGAAATGCCATTTCTTGATGGGTCTACAGGGCGAAAGACCAGCCAAGAAAAATCGCAGCAGGAAACACACACCTCGAAGACTGCGGGTTTCCAGTTCCAACCATAAGTCAAGCCATCCGCAATTGATCTGACCCAAAGATCAAGCCCCCCAAAAACGCCCCTCCCTTTCAAGGGCTTAACGATTTCCAAGACAGCGGAATAGAAAGACCTACGAGCGAGCCTGGGGGCCTTCATGTCGACAGGCCGGGCCTGGCAAACGGATCGCTGGCCTGTTTGGATGGAAACGCGAAATCCATTCCGCGCCACAACTTGAAACCATAGTTGAAACCATTGTGTGTTGGAATTTACAGGGGCACCATGCCATTCATCATACTTCTTCTCAATAAATGTGGCGATTCAAGTCAGATACACACAAATCATCAGAAACCAGGATTCTTAGTTTCGTGTCAGTGGGAAGGGCAACCAACAAAACCACCTTTCTGGAGCAGCAATCCACCCTGAGAAGACGATGAAATAAGTAAATCATGGGGAGGAAACCACCCGTTCGTGAGGTTGGTATTATTGCAGAACAACAAACTTGCACTCATACAAAACACCTGCACAGATTCATGCAATGTTTTGGCCTCAAAAGCATGACCCGGGGTCCAATTTGTACCAGTCACCCAAACCGTGCGTCCCTGCTTCTACCCGATCAAAGAAGTTTGACAACACGACACTCAGCCACGCATGTCTCGCAAAATGCAAAGGAGCCTTGCTTACCAAACAAATACCTTTTTGGACTCGAGGAAACCAGCAGTCAACCCAAAAGGGGCCAGCCAACACGTTGATCCGACTCTCAAAACCTTCCGTGTGGACTCAGAGTCTAGGTCCCGCAACTTCGCGGGATTCCTTGGTCCTTTGGTTGTTTGGAAGCCCAAAGGTGACGTTTCAGCCACCCTTGTTTCACTCAGAAAGGGATGTGGTCAACAGATGTCAACAGGCAAACCTGGACACGATTCCTTGAAGGGTCCCAAGGAAACTGGAGGTCCCAACAAACTCCGGATCCTCCGAACTGATTGTGCCAGTCTTCCCTTCCCCGGCAGTTGGAGAAGGATCTCTTTGCTGGAAGGATCTTGGAGGATTGATGGAACCAATTTGTCACACATGTCTAAAGACCGTCACGTTGGCTTCCCTTCAAATCGGGAAGCCAAAGTCCAAAGTCCTTGCCTAACCCTGGCTGGAACCGTCCGATGATTGTGAGCCTTTTAGTTCATGCTAAGCTGGGAAGCCACATGAGCGTCGAACATCCGTTGAATGTTGCTTCAACAAACAGAGCTACAATGGCTTCTATGGTCTTTGCTACAATCCCTTTTTTAACCACCTGGGGTAGTATTGTAGAACCAACATACTACATAGAAGTGTTCACACAAAAAGCAGCCGTTGAAGGGGTATACAAGCATCCGCTTGTCCCCGAACAGGACTTCCCAATTTCTTTGACTCTAATTTAGACTCGTGCCTTCCCATTTGCCCAAGGGCTCCATGCGCAAGAAACGCATTACCAGATTGGGTTTGGCAACATCTCACAAAACACATCGCTAATACCAAGCATTTGTCCGTCCACCGCTTACTGGTAGAGGTTGGTTACAGCACATTAGCTTGGTTAGTTAATTAACCACTTTTGATGCACAGCGCATAGAAAACCGATTGTTTTTGAGCCTGGTAGCCGCCGCGAGAAGCCGCCTGCCACGGCCGGAGTGCACGCCCGGTTTCCAAAACCCGTCCCAGGAAACGAGGCTCATCAGGGGGCCAATTCCACTGGGAAGGACACAAGCAACCTTGGGTTCTCAAATGCATGTTCTTTTGCCAGGGTTGCTCACATAGACATATCCATTCAGAGCGAGAGGCATAGCAAGAGGCCCAAGCTGGCAAGCTGCACATGGCTTGCTGTGCTGAAATCTAAGGGCCTGTTTGTTTGTGTGTGTGTGTGACCTTTGCTGTGGATACCGCATGGGTGGTTAAAAAAGCAAAAAACAATCAAACAATTACCATCTTTTCGGACCCGTCCATCCATTTGCTTAAGTCCCCTGGAAAACAATTTATGTTTAGTGGGGATAGACTCCCTTAAAACCAACAGGAGACAAACAAATCGTACTAAGCAAACAGAGGCCGCTTTGAGGCGCTTGAACCCACGTAGCCCTGACTCACCCCGCCTGCGTCGGCACGGCAAAAGCCGTAGAAGTACAAACCGCGGGCGGAGCGGCCGGAGAGATGCCCATGACCTGCGGATGGACCACTTCAACACCTACTGTGGATGGACGAAATCCATCTCGCATCACTGTGATACCATGGGAAACTAGTTTTTGCTGGTATTTAGGGGGGGAATGATCAGCAACCAGGGTCTCTTAGGTGGGGCGAAATGGATATCGTCCATCCACAGCAGCACTTCCACCTCATCCGCCAGCACACTCAACTGCCAACCACTGCTTGTTGCACAGAGGGATCTTGGACATGGGAACAAACCAGTTTCTTGGGTGCGGGGAGGGGGGGGGGGGGGGCGGCTGGGTGTGGCTCCCCTGTTTTGACACAGGCCCATTTCATTCTACCAGTTGGGATGAGATAAGCCACAAATCCCAACTGGTGTAAAGTGGATGCTGTCCTTCCACAGTAGGTCTCCACGTAATTCATACTCAAAAGCTCTGGTGTTGAGTAAATGCCACCAAAACCCATGACAACAAATGAACAGGCGGCCATGGGTGGAATTAGGTGCATAGGCATTGTCTTCTACTTACACTCAATTACAATGGCTTGATCGTTGGGGAACTACAATTGCAAAATGGGCAACTCATGTTGTTTCTGTTTCCGTGTAAAACAAACCTAAAAAGAGCAGCTTCTCCTCAACAAGCACAAGGTTGAACCCAGAGAATGATTGTGTTCCCCCAAACGGAGATTCCTCTGAAGGTGATATGTCCATCTGATTCTGACCATGGCACAAACGCCAGATCCGAATTCCACACCACTCACTGCCCCCGTTGGTTTCACCCAGATCCAGCTGGAATGGGAGCATCCCTGCAGGGTGCAGCAACGCGTGAGGGGAACAAGCAACACTAAATATTGCTTTCTAGGGAGGGGGTTGGGCCAAACATGGATGCATTCTCCGAAGTATTTGGCTGAAGATGGCACGGGTCCCACAAAATCGAAGATGGCTCCAATTACTATTTGCCCTCCGATGGAAGACAGGGGACCTTTTGGACAAAAGGTTCTCCATTTTCTGGACTTTGTCTTCCAAGCGACCCAGACTCAGATCTGCCCTGCCCTCGCGGATTTCCCACCCATTTCCTATAAGCTGCGAATGTGTGCATTGGCCTAATTAAGAGTCCAACACGACTTGGAATGGCCGAAGACCTTCGGGGGGTGCCCGCAAAACCCCTTAAAATCATCAAGTGGGCCTAAGAGTCCAACAGGGCATGGACGAATTGGAATGCCCCATCAAATCATCAAGTGCTCGGACCCTCGCCCAATCAGACCCATTCCATCGCCGGCCTTTTCATGGCGCAGACGCAATGCTTCCAAGCGCCGCCTGGCAAAAGCTTGTCTTGCAAAGTTTGGAAGGTGGCTAGTAACATTCTGCTCGCATCGCTTGCAACGCTCCACCTGGACCCTCACACCCTCAAAAATGGGCTTCAGGGGTGCAGCCAAAAATGGGCTCATGGCGGCCGGCTGGGCAATTCTTTTGCAAACGGCTGTGTCAACCCCCCCCAGATGCCTGAACAAAAATGGACCAAACTCAAGTGGCCAGACCCAAGGCTTTTGGACCACCCAACGCCAGCCAATGGCGGCCAACCATTTCAATCGCCCATCCGTCCCGGCAGGCCTGGCATCCGGCTCCTGTGACTTCGGAGTGTCGGAGTATGAGAGGGACCCTTCCCGACCCAAAGAACATGCCCTCAGAAAACACACTGTCCGCCTGTTTTGTGTGCTTTTGTTTCAAGCACTTACCTCATATTAGTTTGGTGTTTTCTGCTTTTAAGCACTTACCTTATATCTCTTAGACAGGTTCAACCAAGAGGAAATACCGTCTGGACGTTCTGAAAAAGGGGGGTACGAATCCGATGTCAACATTATCCCAAAGTGGTCTAGCCGAAGCCAAGTGAAGAATCCGAGCGGCTATTGGTTAAGGTGCTTCTCCCCGTCTGACTGCTGACACCCTCTAACACGTTTTTTTCATATGCACGTGTTTTGCAAACGCCGGCGCTGTGTTTTTGAAATCCGGCTGAATAGTTGTCGGATTCAAAACGGCCATGTTTCTGGCCAAAGCGGAGATTGAATCACCTTCAAGGGACGCTCACTTTACATGGGCCCCAAAGATGATCTTGAAAACCACAGGGGGAAACGTAGCGAACCAGTTCACAAGGAAGTCCCTACCTTCTCTCTGAAGCAACCACCCAATGGAGGTCTAGTGCAACCCAGTCCTGGCTCGCAACTCCTGGCAGCGACGAAAGGGCCTGTCTTTTGTTGGCGGTACCCGTGTTTTTGGTGGTTTTGAACGAAGCAACAGGAAAACAACTCCTGGGGGGGTCCCTAAAGAAAGACCCCCCCAAAACATGTTTGCCCGATAGTTGTGTCCTTTGTGGGTGTCCCCAGCTTCATTCCAAAACCCCGTGTGACCGACTTCAGTTCTTCATACGGCTTTCACCAAAAAACAGGGTTTTGGCCAGTCAGATCTTCTGGGAACACAAAATATCTGAGCTCCAAAGCCAATATTATCTCTTCCGGATTGACGAAAGGTCCAGTTTCCTGGTGTTTCCCTCACCCAAATGCTTCAAGCAAACAAAACGAAAGACAGCTTCCGTGCGCGACGTTGAAAAAGTATGCTTCTTCCCTCCCATGCACAAACAGGGACCCTCACAGGGCGGTGCTGGAAGACATGACATTGGAAGGCTATTTGCTTGAAAGAGAAAAAATGGTATAAGGGAGGGTCTGAGGTAGGGTATTTCCATGTTAGGGCTTCAGGGTTCAGGGATGAAATTAAAGAAGTCAATCACTTTGTTCAAAACAACAAGGGGGGTTCTGGGGATTTTTCTAAAATTTCTGATCATTCTTTGAACAGTTTTTCATTCAATAACAGTCTAAGATTTTGACATTTCCAAGGTTCAGGTTTCAAACCATTTTTAGCCTGAGGGATACAAGCGTTTACTCATATTATAAGATAATAATACGGATCATCTGACTGAATTTTACTTTACATAACACTCACTATTTGTCTTTTGTATGTTCAAAGTTCACTAATTATAACATGTAAGAATAGAAATGTGATAATTATGATTTAGTTTTGAATTACTCAGGTTAATCAACAATTAGTTTAAACCTTATGCTTTTTACTCCTTCAAAATTCATACTTCTTTCATCTTCCATACAACTGTATATTTTTGATGCGCCGCTCTCATTACACTGCTATATTCTCTATGGCTATATTGTCTACAACATCATCGCTATGAAACTAAAAAGTAAAAGTGCTAAATTCATCGTCTTCAAAATAATTGAAATGATGAAATCTTACAAACATATTTACCTCAACTAATCGTTGCTTCATAACCTTCATCAAAAATATTTAGAAATTTATTTGATGAAACTTTATTTTGTTAAAGTTTCATTAACTTAATTGTTCAGTTACTTTTAAAATTAACTAGTTATTATTGAATGGAACATCTTTTTATGATACGCTGGTAGTGAATATCATAAAATCGAACAGGCTTTCCATTGCTTCAATCAATACACATTGAGGCTAATTAGTTTGAATTAGTTTCAACCCCGCTTGTGTGTTGACACAGTGCGAAGAAAACTCCATTGCTGAGCCCCGAATATTCTAACATGCATGAAATAGTAAGATTAGTTGTAATAGTTTGACTTATTATGTATATGACTAAAAGTTATTCAGATTATATTGATACAATAAATGAAGTAGAGAATATAGAACACGTAGTGATAACTGATAAAACTAAAAATGTTGTTATTATACAATGGAATTAAGCTAGGAATGCAATATATCAAAAATAAAAATGTCAATGTAAATACAAATGGGAAGAAAGAAAAACAAAGAGAATAAGACAGGATTAAGTGTTTCTTCAACAGATGAAGAAAAAGAAGAAATTGTTAAAGAAACAGCAGTTATTGAGTTCTCTTGTCCAAAAGGATGCTAGATGTTAAAAGTGAGTTAGAAATGCAACTGAAGGGAAATTGTACATGCTCGTGTGTTCCAACAAGCTTCAAATTAAGCAAAAATGGTAAGAACATGAATATTGATAAAACGAAAGACAGTATCAACTTCGAAACAGATGTTCCTAATATAACTTTTAAATGGGGTAAGGATGCATCACTCTCGGATAATGGTGACAATGAAACAAAGGAAGCCATACGTGAAATGATGAAAAATTAGAAAATAAAGAGTAGATTGAACACCACTTCAAACGCATAAATAAAACAATATATGTATTTATATCTAAATATATGTGTAGAAATGCCAGAAAATGAAAGTTTTGCAATTAACGATTTAATGAAAACGATTGCAATTATTAGTAAGAATGTGAAAGCATTGTCAGAACTTGTTAAGACTTTTGATTATAAATTAAATCAACCTAAAAGCAATAACGAAAACGATAAGGACGCCTCGCCAGAGGCTCGCGTGCTACGCGAAAAGATTGATAAAATATTTGCAAAGAAACAGATAAGACGTCCGACTGGCAGTTACGATGATAAGAGGCAGAAATACTGTGAAATGATTAATAACAATAAAATCAAACAGCCAAAAAGTGAAACTATCGAATACTACAAACTGTTTAAGAACGAAGGAAGGAAAGTATGAATTGATATAATAATCCCGAGTGAGTTAATTAGTGAGATACTGGTTAGTTCATATTAAGCACTACTTCAAGAAATGACCCCTATATAAAATAGAGAACTAATGACTACATTAAAATGCGGTTGTCAAATTACAGGAAACAATTTAGATTTTGAAAAAGAAGTTAAAAATGATAGAGGGTTGATTGAAAAGTACATAGAATGAGTTATTATCATAAACGTTATATTAATATTTGTGGAGAGTGTGAAAAGAAAGCAGATATATTTAATGATTTGGAGAAAAAGAAGATAGACATTGAAAAGGAACAATTGTGTTAATATGTATTGGAAAGTTCTGGGAAAGTCATTTAACTGTTGGCGATATTATAGAAGAAGACAACAGTTGATTAAAATAGTTCTTACTATTTTCCTTAAATATTAA